GCGTCTTCACTAGACGCGATAAGTCGATCCCCAATAGATCGATTGCTACCCGCCGATCCGGCGGGTAGTGAAGACGTGCCCTTAGTGGCTGTGTCCAGCCACCACGGACCCTACTGGGTCTGACTGCCTTATTCCCTAGTTGTAGCTGAGCCCTCAGGCCACACTCTCTTCTATGCCACACCTGAGCGGTGGGTAGTTAGAGGGGCGATACACCTGCCTCTGTGAAACTCTCCTCCAGCATTTGCCTCAGGACAGGCCCCATCTCCACTTGGAAATGGAGGCGCTTTCCCATAGAGGCTGGGAACTGAGCTGTGAAATCCCACGTGCCTTGGGCTGGGATGGGAAAGGCACCCTGGCCTCACCCAGCCTCTTCTGCTAATGCAGCAGGAGATGGCTTCATGCCATCTCCCACTCAGAGCTGGATATTTTTCCTTAGAGCATGGAGCAGGAGGTGGCAGCAGAGCAGGGACCCCACCCCTTCTCACTCCTTTCCATGCTCCATAGCAAGGCTCAGGTGGGATGGGGAAGTTCCAAGCTCCATGGATTGATGTTCCTGGGAGTCCCTTGTCTTGCAGCTGCCATGCTGCCTGCTGGAGAGGCAGAACCTTCCCCATGGTACCCATGGGTGTGATGGTATTGTACCCACATGCTCCATTCCTGGGTGGGACGAATCATTCCCTGGGGGTTCCTAATGCCATTTGTTCCCTCCTCTCACTGCATGAATAGTTGCCTCGCCAGTCCCTGTGCCACGGAGAAGACGTCCTCGGCCCCTCCCACGTTCTCAGCCTGGAGCTGATTCTCTGACACAGCCACCAGTACCACGCCCTCGCAGCAAACTCACAGAGGTAATAATGTTGGCTTTGCCTAGGGTCAGATACCCAGGGACATCCCAACATGTGATCTTGAGGGAGCCCTCCCATCTGCACATCCCGTATGAATAAAGAGGAGTTCATGCCCAATATTGTGAGTTTAAATAAACCAATCCTGATAAAACCTTGGGCAGGGCTTGGTCTTGGGAGAACTGAAAGTGGAAGTTGGATGAAGTTCCTGTCTGGTCTCCCCTAGGGCACAGACTTGAGTGAGGTCGTCTGTGATATCTTCAAAGGAGCTTACTGTAAGTGTCCCCCTGCTCTTGCTCCTGCCTCCACTGTTGATTTTCGATAAGTCTTGGAGCACTGGGGAAGTTCCAGGAGACTGGAAGGAAGCTAGTGTTGTACCAGTTTGTAAAAAGGGTAAATGGGATGAAACGAGTAATCATAGGCCCGTCAGTTTGACATCGATCTTGGACAAGATAATGAAGCAACTGAGACAGAATCATAGACTATCAGGGTTGGAAGGGACCTCAGGAGATCATCTAGTCCAACCCCCTGCTCAAAGCAGGACCAATCCCAAACTAAATCCAGGGCTTTGTCAAGCCTGACCTTAAAAAGCTCTAAGGAAGGTGTCAGGGTTCCCTCCCCACTCTAAACGTAGGGTACAGATGTGGGGACCTGCATGAAAGACCCCCTTAGTTTATTTCTACCAGCTTAGGTTAAAACTTCCCCAAGACACAAATTCTTCCTTGTCCTTGGACGGTATCACTGCCACCACCAAGTGAGTTAGACAAAGATTCAGGAAAAGGACCACTTGGAGTTCCTGTTTTCCCAAAATATCCCCCCAAGCCCCTTCACCCCCTTTCCTGGGGCGGCTTGAGAATAATATACCAATCGAATAGGTAAACAAGGTTAGCACAGACCATCCCTTGGGTTTTTAGGAAACTAAAAACCAATCTGGTTCTTAAAAGCAGAACTTTATCATAAAGAAAAAAGTAAACGAAGCACCTCTGTAAAATCAGGATGGAAGGTAATTTTACAGGGTAATAAGATGTAAAACACAGAGGATTCCCCTCTAAGCAAAACTTCAAAGTTACAAAAAACAGGAATAAATCTCCCTCTTAGCACAGGGAAAATTCACAAGCTAAAACAAAAGATAAGCTAACACATTTCCTTGCTATTACTTACAATTTTTGTAATCTTGGATGCTTATTTCAGGTAGGGTTTTAGGACATGGTTTTTCCTGCCCTGGTCCCTCTCTGTCCCAGAGAGAACAACAAAAGAGAGCACAAAACAAAACCTCCCCCCCCCCACAGATTTGAAAATATCTTCTTCCCTTATTGGTCCTTTTGGTCAGGTGCCAACCAGGTTATTTGAGCTTCTTAACCCCTTACAGGTAAAGGAGGGATTTTATGCTACCCTTAGCTGTATGCTTATGACAGAAGGAGATTCCTCCACCTCCCTAGGTGTAACCCATTCCAGTGCTTCACCACCCTCCTAGTGAAAAAGTTTTTCCTAATAGGCAACCTAAACCTCCCCCACTGCAACTTGAGACCATTACTCCTTGTTCGGTCATCTGCTACCACTGAGAACAGTCTAGATCCATCCTCTTTGGAACCCCCTTCCAGGTAGTTGAAAGCAGCTATCAAATCCCCCCTCATTCTTCTCTTCTGCAGACTAAACAATCCCAGTTCCCTCAGCCTCTCCTCGTAAGTCATGTGCTCCAGACCCCTAATCATTTTTGTTGCCCTTCGCTGGACTCTTTCCAATTTTTCCACATCCTTCTTGTAGTGTGGGGCCCAAAATTGGACACAGTATTCCAGATGAGGGCTCACCAATGTCGAATAGAGGGGAACGATCACTTCTCTCGATCTGCTGGCAATGCTCCAACTTATACAGCCCCAAATGCCGTTAGCCTTCTTGGGAACAAGGGCACACTGTCGACTCATATTCAGCTTCTCGTCCACTGTGACCCCTAGGTCCTTTTCTGCAGAACTGCTTCCTAGCCATTCGGTCCCTAGTCTGTAGCAGTGCATGGGATTCTTCCGTCCTAAGTGCAGGACTCTGCACTTTTCCTTGTTAAACCTCATCAGATTTCTTTTGTCCCAATCCTCTAATTTGTCTAGGTCCCCCTGTATCCTATCCCAACCTTCCAGCGTATCTACCACTCCTCCCAGTTTAGTGTCACCTGCAAACATTCTGAGGGTGCAGTCCACGCCATCCTCCAGATCATTAATGAAGATATTGAACAAAACCGGCCCCAGGACCGACCCTTGGGGCACTCCGCTTGACACCGGCTGCCAACTAGCCATGGAGCCATTGATAACTACCCGTTGAGCCTGATGATCTAGCCAGCTTTCTATCCACCTTATAGTCCATTCATCCATCCCATACTTCTTTAACTTGCTGGCGTATCAAAAGCTTTGCTAAAGTCAAGGAATAACACGTCCACTGCTTTCCGCTCGTCCACAGAGCCAGTTATCTCATCATAGAGGCAATTAGGTTAGTCTGGCATGACTTGCCCTTGGTGAATCCATGCTGACTTTTCCTCATCACTTTCCTCTAAGTGCTTTAAAATTGATTCCTTGAGGACCTGCTCTTATGATTTTTCCAGGGACTGAGGTGAGGCTGACTGGCCTGTAGTTCCCCAGATCTTCCTCCTTCCCTTTTTTAAAGATGGGCACTACATTAGCCTTTTTCCAGTCATCCGGGACCTCCCCTGATCGCCATGAGTTTTCAAAGATAATGGCCCATGGCTCTGCAATCACATCCGCCAACTCCTTTAGCACCCTCAGATGCAGTGCCCCAGGACTCGATTAATAAATAATTAAAGGAGGGTAATGCAATTAATGCAAACCAACATGGGTTCATGGAAAATAGATCCTGTCAAACTAACCTGGTATCCTCTTAGATGAGATTATAAGTTTATTTGATAAAGGTACTAGTATTGATGTAATACATGTAAATTTCTGCAGTGCGTTTGACTTGATATTTCACAACATTTTGATTTAAAAAACTAGGAGGATATAAAATTAACATGGCACACATTAAATAGGTTAAAAACTGGCTAACTCAAAATGTAATGGTAAACAGAGAAACATCATCAAGTGGGTGTGTTTCCAGTGGAGTCCCACAGGGATCAGTCCTTGGCCCTCCACTATTTAACATTTTTATCATTGACCTGGAAGACGACATAAAATCATCACTGATAAAGTTTGGAGATGACACAAAAATTGGAGGAGTGGTAAATAATGAGGACAGGTCACTGATTCAAAGTGTTCTGGATCGCTTGGTAAGCTGGATGCAAGCAAACAATATGCGTTTTAATACAACTAAATGTAAATGTGTACATCTAGGAACAAATAATGTAGGCCATACTTACAGAATGGCAAGCAGGACTCTGAAAAAGATTTGGAGTTTGTGGTGGATAATCAGTTGAACATGAGCTCCCAGTGCAATACTATGGCTAAATGGGCTGATGCAATGCTTGGATACATAAACAAGGGAATCTCAAGTAGGAGTAGAGAGGTTTATTTATCTTTCTATTTGGCACTTGTGCGACTGCTGCTGGGATCCTGTGTCCAGTTCTGGGTGCTCACCATTCAAGAAGGAGATTGATAAATTAGAGAAGGTTCAGAGAAGAACCATGAGAATAGAAAACTCACCTTATAGTGATAGACTCAAGGAGGTCAGTCTACTTAGCTTAACACAGAGAAGGTGAAGGGTTGACTTGATTAGCCTAGAAGTATCTACATGGGAAACAAATATTTAATAATGGGCTCTTCAGTCTAGCAGACTGATCCAATGGCTGGAAGTTGAAGCTAGACCTTCGGCACGTGGCCCATCAGGGTAATCCGCTGGTGGGCCGCGAGACATTTTGTTTACGTTGACCGTCCGCAGGCATGGCCCCTGTAACTCCCAGCAGCTGCGGTTCACTGTTCCCGGTCAATGGGAGCTGTGGGAAGTGGCGGCCACAAGTTATGCTCTATGGATTATTTTGGGAGAGATATGTGGCCTGTGTTATACAGGAGCTCAGACTAGATGATCACAGTAGTCCCTTCTTGCCTAGGAATCTATCACTCTCACACCCACCTTCCTTTTTTCTCTCTCTTTCCTGTTTTCAGTCGACTCCCTTTGATAATTTTTTGCGCTCCAGGCCCTGCCCTGTGCTGGGGACAGAGGGGCAGACAGGAGAAGAGGAAGAAATGAGGCAAATCAAGAGAGGAGCAACTCTCCGCTGGTTCAGAGAGACACAGGCTTGGAAGGTTAGGCAGGATGATGGGGCCTTTCCTGGCTGGCTGCATGGGATGATCAGCAGGAGGTGAGAACCCTAGGGGCTTGCAGCATACCAAGGGGGCTGGGCTGTGCAGGCAGAGGCTGGCATGTCCTTAGGGAGAGTGTGTATGAGAGTGGGGGTTGGGGTCCCTGGAGATAGCATGGACTGGTTTCTTGGGGAGCTGGGAATAGGACACATGGCCTTTCCACTCTAGAGTACTGATTCCCATCCAGACCCGTCAGGGGGATTGGCTGATATATGGAGTTGGGAGTGGGGTACAGGGCCTTTTACTTCTAGGTCACTAGTTCCAATCCAGGGTGGCAGCAACTGAAGGTTTTTATCTGATTTTTATCTCAAAGACTGATGGAATGGTAAATGTTGATGAGGACAGGACAGCCATGTAGATTTGTACTGCTTGGTAAACTGGGCCCATTTAGAATAAAAGTGTTCTAATTAGGGCTGTCAATTAATTGTAATGAACTCACGCGATTAACTCAAAAAAATTAATCGTGATTGAAAAAATTAATCGTGATTAATCACACTGTTCAACTATAGAGTACTAATTGAAATGTATTAAATATTTTTGGATGATTTTCTACATTTTCAAATATATCGATTTCAATTACAGCACAGAATACAAAATGTCCAGTGCTCACTTTATATTATTTTTATTACAAATATTTGCACTGTAAATATGATAAACAAAAGAAATAGTATTTTTCAATTCATCTCATACAAGTACTGTAGAGCAATCTCTTTATCATGAAAGTGCAACTTTCAAATGTAGTTTTTTTTTTGTTACATAACTGCACTAAAAAACGAAACAATGTAAAACTTTAGAGCCTACAAGTCCACTCAGTCCTACTTCTTGTTCAGCCAAACGCTAAAAAGTTTACATTTATGGGAGATAATGCTGCCCACTTCTTAATTACAGTGTCATCTGAAAATGAGAACAGGCGTTTGCATGGCACTGTTGTAGCTGGCATCACAAGATATTTACGTGCCAGATGCGCTAAAGATTCATATGCCTTTTCATGCTTCAGCCATCATTCCAGAGGACATGTGTCCACGCTGATGACGCTCATTAAAAAAAAAATGCGTTAATTAAATTTGTGACTGAACTCCTTGGGAGAGAATTGTATGTCTACTGCTCTGTTTTACCTGCATTCTGCCATATAATTCATGTTGTAGCAGAGACGGATGATGACCCCGCACATGTTCATTTTAAGAACACTTTCATTGCAAATTTGACAAAATGCAAAGAAGATACAAATGTGAAATTTCTAAAGATAGTTACAGTCCTTGACCCAAGATTTAAGAATCTGAAGTGCCTTCCAAAATCTGAGAGGGACGAAGTGTGGAACATGCTTTCAGAAGTCTTAAAAGAGCAACATTCTGATGCGGAAACTACAGAACCCAAACCACCAAAAAAGAAAATCAGCCTTCTGCTGGTGGCATCTGACCCAGATGATGAAAATGAACATGCGTCGGTCCACACTGTTCTGGATCATTATCGAACAGAACCCGTCATCAGCATGGACACATGCCCTATAGAATGATGGTTGAAGCATCAATGGACATATGAATCTTTAGTGCATCCGGCATGTAAATATCTTGTGACGCCAGCTACAACAGTGCTATGCGAACGCCTTTTCTCACTTTTAGGTGACATTGAAAACAAGAAGCAGGCAGCATTATCTCCTGCAAATGTAAACAATCATGTTTGTCTGAGTGATTGGCTGAACAAGAAGTGAGACTGATTGGACTTGTAGGCTCTAAAGTTTTACATTGTTTTATTTTTGAATGCAGGGGTTTTTTTGTACATAATTCTATATTTGTAAGTTCAACTTTCATGATAAAGAGATTGCACAACAGTACTTGTATTTGGTGAATTGAAAAATACTATTTCTCTTGTTTGTTACATTGCAAATATTTGTAATAAGGAATAATTATAAAGTGAGCACTGTA